AAGTTTGTTTACTGTGGTTCCAGTATAGGTATAAAAGACACCAGGTGAGTAGTCTGGGGTAGGTGATGTGTCAGAAGAGATTTGGCTTCTGAGCTGTTTCCAACTGATACTGTGATCACTCTTTTGGCCAAGTCTGTAGAGGCCCTGCTGGCTTTCTTGACTTGTCTTAGGTTGTAGGATTCAGAAGGAGCTTGAGGCTTTATGCTGCCAGCAAAAAACTTTCTGCAAAATGTAAGATTTTCCTGAATTAGGCATGTCTCTCACTGTGTTGCTGAATCTTTAGTTCCTTGTGTTTTGTTAGTATCACTGTTTATAGATTTCAGCACAACTGAAGGATTTTGGGCAAGGCACTACAAGAACAGGACTTTATTTATTTATTTTTTTATAGTTACATTAGCTTCACTATTTATTTATTTATTTATTTACTTACTTACTTACTTACTTACTTACTTATTTATACACGCACTGGGTACAGTCAGAAGCGCGGAGGGTGAGAGAGCCAGAGTTACATTAGCTTCACTATTTATTTATTTATTTATTTACTTACTTACTTGCTTATTTATACACGCACTGGGTACACCAGGCGGCAGGAGAGGTCTGCGCGCCATGCGGGACCCTCCTACCTCCGGTGGCCGGGGAGCAGCCGGGGATCGAACCGGTGCTGTAGAGGCTGTGGGCAGCTTTGCAACCCAGCGCTCAACCGCTGCGCCACCGGGGAGGCCCTAGAACAGGAGACTTTAAATTGAGAAATAATTCTTGAGTGTCCAAATGTCTGATGCCAGTTCATACTCAAAGACCTGTTATTGGTTGAGGTTTAACCATGCTTAGGATCTTGTTGCCCTCAGGCAGATTAAGCTAATTTGGAAGATGCCAAAGTCCAGCAAATCAATGCAAGGAGATAGTAGATTTCTTAGTTTTCATACAAACAGGAGCAGATCAATATTCAAAATTAATTATTTTTTAAATTTAAAAAGAATTTTAGGGCCTCCCCGGTGGCGCAGCGGTTGAGCTTTGGGTTGCGAAGCTGCCCGCAGCCTCTGCGGCACCGGTTCGATCCCCGGCTTCTCCCCGGCCACCGGAGGAGGGTCCCACATGGCGCACAGACCTCTCCTGCCGCCCGCTGCTCCCCTCAGCAGTGTATTTTGGACCTTCTGCCTGCTCTGCTCCCTGCTCTGGCGCTGGTGAATTCTCTCACCCTCCCACGTTTCTGACTATACCCAGTGCTTGTATAAATAAATAAATAAAAATAAATCTTTAAAAAAAAATAAAAAAATAAAAAGAATTTTATAAGTGATACATACTCAATGTGAGAAACTGAGAAAACAGAGCTAACCAAAAAGGGAAAATTGCAAAATAAACATTACACAGTACCAATCATGGTTATCTTGATGGGGTAATTCTAGCAATTTTTATGTAGATACTCATAAATGTACAATAAATATAAAAATACCAGTACATAGTGTTTTATAACTTACTTTTCTTTTTTATACTGTTTTATATGCATGGCTTTCTGGGTAGTTTTCTGAGTAGAGGCAATATAAATAATGGTATAGATATACCAAATAGAGTTGAGAAGAGAAACTTCCAGTGAGTTTTATAGGTGACTCCTGCATACGGATACTGTTGACTTTACAAGGTGCAGAGAAGTAATTCATGGGGATAAGATAACATTTAAAATCCGTAAGTCAAGCTGATTGGCATCATGAAAGTGAAATTTGCAGTTTGACTGAAGATTACTTTTTTTAAAGGTATTTTTTTAAAAGATTGATTTATATATGAATACAAGAACTGGATTACTTTTTAATTGGAAACTTAACATAATCAAACCCTGGTTGGTCCTTGTGGTGGGCATCAGTAGCTCAATGTTCTTCACTGGTGACTTGATGCATGGGGAGCAGTCATGGGTAATGGCGTGATCCTTTCTCCTCATCTTGGGTAGCTCATTTCCTCTAGTATCTTGAAATTCTTTATTGGGACCTGTTATAATGTCAAAAAATGTATATTTTGATAAGAAGTCTCATTGCATTTCTTTCTGTTCCATCTTCAGTTTCAGTTGTATCTCCCTCAGTCTATTTCTTACCTATTGTAATTATGTTGCTTGTGCAAAAGAAACTGCATTTGTTGTGGGAGGAGAAGTTAGAACCACCAAAAAAACCCCAAATACTCTCCCTTGATGATGGTCAGGGGAGTTGTTTGGGTGTAAGGTAGATAGCTGTGGCTTCTCTTGAGGATCCTGAGATGCTGGAATGGGCTACTACTGGGTATTTTAGAACCCCCCCAAACCCTCCCAACAATCCCTGCTCCTTGCAATGCCACTGAGCTCTATAAAAATTACAACCACAAACCCCTCTTCAAGAGAGTTCGGACATACAGGCTGATGTCCTAGGAGGATCCCTGGCCCTTGGATCCCATAACCATAGTATAGTTTTCCTTCCAGGGTATTTTGAGTAATTGGGGATTGACTGTAGGATCAATTAGTTATCTGTTGAATACCAGGTGCTAGGCTGCATGCTTTATCCACATTAATTCACTTAGATCCTGTTCTTTTGAAGTGTCTATTGTTAGCTTCACTTTGGATGAAGAAACTGAAGCTTAAATGACTTAAGATCATGCAAGCTCCCAGACACATGAAGTTTCCTGGTGTCTCGGAGAAGAGGTAAAATGTGGTGGATAGGCCAGATAAAATACAGGATGCCCAAATAAATTTTACATATACAACAAATTGCATGGGACATACTTATGCAAAAAATTTTGTTTATCTGAAATTCAAATTTAACTTGGAATCCTGTATTTTTTTTATTTAAATCTAGCAACCCTTGTTTGGTAGGCTAGATTATGGTGGTGGGTGTTGGGTGGGATAGGGGCTCTGAATGCTAGGCAAAACTGTAGGGAATAGAACCAAGGATGCTGTTTTAAGAAGGGCAGTGACATGATGAAAAGTGTTTAATCTGAGTGAGCAAGAAAGCCCTGGGGCACTGGAGAGGAAGGTAGGCTTAGAAGCTGTTACAACTATCCTGGCATTATATCACAATGCAGCAGAGGCAGACATGTGATGGGGCCAGCTGGTTTGGGTGCAAGAAAGCCTACTGTGCTCAGCTCTTCCCAGCTCTGTATTCAGTGATTCCCATGGTAGCTTCCTGCTAGACAAGGAGGGAGCATTTACACTACGGTATTTGATAAATGCTAGAAAGCAAGGCTCCCAGAAGGCTAATTGTTAGACCTAAAAGAGGAGAAGAATATTTTTAAGGCAAAATCAGTGCAATCCAGAGATTGATTGTTGTATAGGTACTATTTAGGGAATATAGAAGAGCATGTATCAAAGGCATTAAGGACTATATGATTTTCCTACATTTGTAAGGCAAAACTTTTTAAGACCTTAACACTTTTTTTAAAAAAGATTTATTTATTTATATAAGCACTGGGTACAGTCAGAAACGCGGGAGGGTGAGAGAATTCACCAGAGCCAGAGCTGGGAGCAGAACAAGCAAACTGATGAAGTACACTGCTGAGGGGAGCAGCGGGCAGCAGGAGAGGTCTGCGCGCCATGTGGGACCCTCCTCTGGTGGCTGGGGAGCAGCCGGGGATTGAACCGGTGCTGCAGAGGCTGCAGGAAGCTTTGCAACCCAGCGCTCAACTGCTGCACCACCAGGGAGGCCCAAGACCTTAACACTTTTAAAGAAAGTATTATACTTGTTAAATCCTGTTGCTCCTGTGACCTAAAATGAGAGCTGCTGTTTGCATAAGAAAACAGTGTGGGCTACCAGCTGATTTTGGGAGAATCCAGATGTGCACAGGGCAGAATTTCTGTCCAACAAAGTTTAGACCTAAGCCCTGAAGTTTACTCAGTCAGGTGTAGCTCATGCCTTAGTAGATCAAAGCAGAGGCTGAACCCAGTTCTTTTGAGCCATGGGACAAATGAGGGACAGAGACCAGTCACACACAGTGGGAGAACTCTACCCAGCAAGGAGGCATTCCACAAGTCTAGAGAGTTCTGCTTTGCCACTGTCCATTTTCAACCAGAAATGATGAATCAAATTAAGTTTGGGGGCCCTAACTGGAAAGAATGAGGAGAGTCATGAAACATTCTTAGGGTTCCCAAAGGACTGCTTCTTGGATCATAAGTTTAGTTCTTAACACTACTCGAATCATGAGAAATCCCTTCTATTATTATTCTTGGCATTGCAATTTATTGTACTGTATCCTCCTGCTTTTGATTCATCTCTGCTACAGTAATGTTACATATTTCTAAGACGTGCATTGGGGAAAACAAACAGTCCATTAAATCCATCCCTCTCCCCTCTTCTATTAGTACCCTCTGATGACAGGAACCTGGTTGTGACTTAACAGAAGCAGGAGGAAACATGAGACTATTGAGTAAAATATAAAACCCCCTGACAGAAACTTGGTCCATTACATGGCACAGCGCCCAGGCAAGTCACATGAGGCTCTATGCTACTATTATTTTCCTCTCCAAAGGATGTAAGTCTTTTCATAACAATTTCAGTGCAGGGTAGAATGATATCTTGCGAATGCCATGACGTCTTTCTGTTCTGAATTTCCATCAAGACTCAGATTGTGCCTTGATCCTCTGGGAAAACTTTGCTTGACCCATTTCCAGGAATAGTGAGGGTCCTGCTATGAGTCCTGCAGCATCATGTGTAATACAAATCAGCTTCCAGGCAATGTCCTGATGGTAGAGGCTCTGAAGCCAAACTGCCTGGGTTCAAATTCCTGTTCTACTGGGTTGTTGGAAAAGGCATGATGTCTTTTTTCTATGCAAAAATGTGTCATGACTTTTCCAACAACCCAGGATAATTAACAATTGTGGTTCAATGGGCAGCTATTGAATATCTTGGCTTCATTTTTCTCATTTGTAAAATTGGAGTAGCAATTGTATCTTATGTCATAAAGTTGTTGGATCTGTTAAAGTGTTCGACACCCTACCTGGCATATAGTAGGATGCCAATAAACATGGATACTCTTGTCTCTGCAGTTGACTGAGTTTTTGGAGGCCTCCATCTTTCACTGTCAATGAGTCGTATAGTTTTGAACACTGACTAGGTGCCCAGGATTGATGAAAGGTGGGTGTCTCATTTGTTGAAAATAGTCATCAGAGTTTAGAAATAAAAAATAGTTCAGTTCCTAAAATTTTCTTTGTATGTGTTGCCTTTAAAAAGTTGCAAACTTTAATTTCAAAATAGAAATAAAGAATAAAGTAATACTTTATTCAACAACTAAAAATTATATGTGTATATATTTATTCCATATCACAGTATGGCTTATTAAAGGAAGCATGGATTTCAGAGACAGACTTGTTTTATTAAATACATATTTATTTAATATATATTTTATAAAATATATATTTATTTAAATATATATGTTTTTTTTACATCATTGTTCATTTTTGTATAATGTTGGATTTTCCTCTCAGGTGTAATCCCCATAAAATTCCACCACCAAGTCCACTGTGAACCATCATCAGTCTCTTGTGCTTTTCCCTTTCCTGTTTTGATCCCTCTCCCTCCCCCTCCCCTGCTGTATAACTCTGATTTATAGTTTGCCTGTTAGTTTTGTCTCTCTCTCTTTTTTCTTTCTCTACCCCTTGTTTCGTTTCCCTATATACCTCCTATAAGTGAAACCATCTGATATTTTTCTTTTTTTTTGTTCTGACTTATTTCACTGAGCATAATCCCTTCCAGCTCCATCCATTTTGCTGCAAATGGCATGAGTTTATTTATTTATTTATTTATTTATTTATTTATTTATTTATTTATTTATTTTTGATTACTGAGTAGTATTCCATTGCATGTATATACCACATCTTGATCCAGTCTTTTGTTTTTGGACATCTAAGTTGTTTCCATATCTTATTGTAAATAGTGCTGCATTGAACACATGAGTGCAGATTTCCTTATGAATTAATGATTTTTTTGTCCTTTGGGTATATTCCACAACTCAACAAAAACAAAATAAAGAATCCAATCAAAAAATGGGCAGAAGGGCCTCCCCGGTGGTGCAGCGGTTGAGCGCTGGGTTGCGAAGCTGCCTGCGGCCTCTGCGGCACAGGTTCGATCCCCGGCTGCTTCCCGGCCACTGGAGGAGGGTCCCACATGACACGCAGACCTCTCCTGCCGCCCACTGCTTCCCTCAGCAGTGTACTTCAGTCCTTCTGCCTGCTCTGCTCCCCGCTCTGGCTCTGGTGAATTCTCTCACCCTCCCACGCTTCTGACTGTACCCAGTGCATGTATAAACAAAACAAACAAATAAACAAACAAATAAATATAAATAAAAACATGCCTCTATTAAAAAAAAAAAAAAAAAGGGCAGAAGAGGGCCTCCCAGGTGGCGCAGCGGTTGAGCACTGGGCTGCGAAGCTGCCCGCAGCCTCTGCAGCACCGGTTCGATCCCCGGCCTCTGGGCGAGGGACCCCCATGGCGCACAGACATTTCCTGCCGTCCGCTGCTCCCCTCAGCAGTGTACTTCGTCAGTCTGCCTGTTCTGCTCCCTGCTCTGGCTCTGGCAAATTCTCTCACCCTCCCGTGCTTCTGACTGTATCCAGTGCTTGTATAAATAAATAAATAAATAAATAAATAAATAAATAAATAAATAAATCTTTAAAAAAAAATGGGCAGAAGAGTAAAAAGACACTTCTCCAAAGAGGAAATGCAGATGGCCAATAGGCACATGAGAAAATGCTCAACATCAAATAAGGGGCTTGCAATTGTATGGGGAATATAAAAATAAAATTAAAATTAAAAAAAATGCTCAACATCCCTTATATTTAGGGAAATGCAAATCAAACCCACAATGAGATATCAACTCATACTCCTGAGAATTGCTCACTGTTAAAAAACTGACATCAAATGCTGGAGAGGATGTAGAGAAAAACCTTTTATTTACATTGCTGGTGGGAATGCAAACTGGTCCAACCACTATGGAAAGCTGTGTGAAGAATCATCAAATTACTAAAAATGTACCTACTATATAACCCAACAATTCCACTCGTAGGAGACAGACTTGTTTTAAATCTCAGCACCATCACCTACTGCTTGTACAGTTTTAGTCAACCCCCTGTACCTGAGTTTCCCTCATTTGGAACTTGTGGCAAATAAAACTTCCCTTCTGGGGGTAGTTGTGAGAATCAAATGAAACCCCATCTGTAAAGCAAATTTATTGATATGTAATAAATTGTCAGCAGGTGCTAAGTTTTTAGTGTTGTTATATTAGGTAGAAGTGGGGCAAGGGAAAGAAGGGAAGGAAAGGGAAAAAGACACAAAAGGATCAAGGTAGACAAAGCATGTAGGCGAAAGACAGCCTAAAAACAGATACCAAAGAAGTAAAATAAAATAAAGATTTGGCATATAGATTTCATTTTGTTTTGAAATACTTTGTTTTTTAGTTTTTGTGTAGGTAACATATGCCAGCGACATGAAATTAAAAGGTGCTCAAGTAAAAGTGAAAAATAAATACACTTCAAAAAAAGTTAAAAATAATAGACTTTCGTGATCAGTCCTTTATCATTAGTGTTGTGTGCAAAAATGTTCTCCCAGTTAGTGGGGTTTCTCTTTGTTTTTGTTATTGTCTCTTTTGCTGTGCAGAAGCTCTTTAATTTGATGTAGTCCCAGCTGTTTATCTTTGCCTTCACTATCACTGCTTTGGGTGATGTGTCTGTAAAGATGTCTTTGATGTGAATATCACGTAGTGTTTTGCCTATATTTCCTTCTATGTATTTTATGGTTTCAGCTCTTATGTCTAGTTCTTTAATCCATTTTGAGTTGATTTTTGTGTATGGTGTGAGGTAGTGGTCAAGCTTCATTCTTTTGCATGTAGCGACCCAGTTTTCCCAGCACCATTTATTGAACAAACTTTCTTTGCTCCAATGCATAGTCTTTGCTCCTTTGTCAAAGATTAGTTGACCATAAATCTGTGGGTTTATTTCTGGATTTTCTATTCGATTCCATTGGTCTGTGTGTCTGTTCTTGTTCCAATACCATGCAGTTTTGATGATTATGGCTTTGTAGTAGAGTTTGAAGTCTGGGGGTGTGATGCCTCCATTCCCTTCTTTTTTTTTCAGGAGAGCTTTGGCTATTCCGGGTTTTTGGTGATTCCATATGAATTTCATCAATAATTGTTCTATTTCTTTGAAGAATGACACTCAACAACTACAAAGAAAATAATCCAGTCAAAAAATGGGCAGAAGAGCTACAAAGAAACTTCTCTGAAGAGGAAATGCAAATGGCCCACAGGCATATGAAAAAATGTGCAACATCACTTGTAATCAGGGAAATGCAAATCAAAACTACCATGAGATACCATCTTACACCAGTGAGAATGGCTCATATTAAGAAAACTAGCAACAACAAATGTTGGCGAGGTTGTGGAGAAAAAGGAACTCTCCTGCACTGCTGGTGGGAGTGCAAACTGGTCCAACCACTATGGAGAGCTGTGTGGAGATTTCTGGACCTACTAAACATAGAGCTTCCATATGATCCAGCAATTCCACTCCTAGATATTTACCCAAAGGACACAGAAACATCAATTCCAAAGAACACCTGCACCCCTATGTTTATAGCAGCACTATTTACAATAGCTAAGCTTTGGAAACAGCCCAAATGCCCAAAAAAAGATGACTGGATCAAGAAGATGTGGTACATATACACCATGGAATATTACTCAGCATTCAAAAAAGATAAACACATGCAATTTGCAGCAACATGGATGGCGCTGGAAGGGATCATGCTCAGCAAAATAAGCCAGAAAGAAAAAGAAAAATACCGAATGGTCTCACTCATAGCAGGAACCTAGAAAACTTAAATAAGGGACCAGGAAAATGAATAACTATAAGAAAGTGAAAATCAAAATCAACAAACAACTATGAACCAGAGACACTTTTTGGGGGGTGGGGGTGGGAGGGGAGGGATTGGGGTCAAAATGGGGGGGTTGCAATTGTATGGGGAATATAAAAATAAAATTTATTATTTAAAAAAAAAGTGCTCTCTAGGGCCTCCCTGAGCTGTATTCAGGCCACAAGGGGTTAAGACTTGAAGCTATCCACAGCCACTGCAGGAGTTCCATCCCCAACCAGGGAGATAACCACATGGCGCAGCAGACCTCTCCTGACTCACCCACTGCTCCCCTCAGCAGTGTATTTAGGTCAATCTGCCTGTTCTGCTCCCCACTCTGTCTCTGGTGAATCCTCTCACCTCCCCAAACCTCTGGCCTGTACCCCAGTTCTTGTATGCATAAATAAAAATCTTTTTAAAAAATAAACAAAAAAAAAATAAACCAAATACCAACCAAAAAAATAAATAAATAATAGACTTTCACCCTGTTTGATCCAACCAGTTTACTTCTTTAGGGACAACTACTTATACTGGTTTTTTCTTATGATTCCTTCTCGAAAAACTCCATATATTGATACACAAAATGTTCCTATTTCCCATTATTTAATTAATCATCTACTTATGTGGTGCTGCATTAATTACAACAGTCCACACCTTACTTTCTTTATTGAATGTGTTTTAGCAGTCATTCCTTTTAGGGAGACACAGGGCTGTCTCCTTTTAGCTCTGGTATTCCAGATATTTAGCTAGTCACCTATTGATGGAATTTTAGGTTATTTCCGGTCTTTTGTTATTACTATAAACTACAATGAATATGTGTATTTTCACATGTGTGAGTGTGTCAGTGTTTCCTAGAAATGGAATTGCTTACTCAAACCATATGGGCAATTTTGAAGACAGAGACAGGTTGTTACAATTTAATACTCCCTTCGGCAAGTGTGAGTACAGCTCTTTCTTATACTCTTGCCAGCGCATGTTATTATCTGTCTTAGTGATGTTTGCCAGATAAGGGAGAAACATATCTTAATGTAGTTTTAACTTACATTTCTTATAAGTAAATGAGGTGATTAAACAGATATTTCAGAATAATTTTTCTTTCTTTTTCTGTGAAATCTATGTTCATATCCTTTGTCTGATTTGCTGTTGGTTGTTGATTTGGAGGAGATCCTAGCATACTCCCAAAGGCAAACTTTTGTTTTTTCTCTTGCATTTTAACTTTATCATTCATCTTTCTATTA